ACTGTTGTCTGTATGATAGTGAGGGACCCAAGGGGAGAGTTAATATGAGAATGTGAGGTTCGTCTAATTAGATTTTCTAGTATCTGCTGTGATTTATTGCTGTGCAAAGGAGCTTTACGAAGGTTTTGCTCACAGACATGTAATTCAGTTAAAGTGTTCTTTCAATGCCACATATTTTACAAGAAAGACATGCTGGGAACTACTTGGTACGTTTCAAAGTATATTTTATTTTTTGACAAGTCATTTTTGCTACTTAGTAGTTATATCTAGAGTTGAGCGAACCTGAACTGTAAAGTTTGGGTTGGTACCGAACTTTAGGTTTTTTGGACCCGTACCCGAACACGGACATATCAGTGTATGTTCGGGTTGGAGTTCGGTGTTCGGCAATTTAATGGCGCGTTTTGAAAGGCTGCAGGGCAGCCAATCAACAAGCGTTTGACTCTTGTGCCCTTAGAAGCCATCACAGCCATGCCTACTAATGTCCTGGCTGTGATTGGCCAGTGCAGCATGTGACCCCGCCTCTATATATAAGCTGGAGTCACGTTGCGCCACACGTCACATGAGCTCTTATTAGTGAAGGGAGAGGATGCTGCAACTGTGAGGGACAGATTAGGAAAGAATTCTGGTGTTGAATCTGCAAACTGCAGCGATTATGTTTGTGGGTGCTATACTACATTTTTGTACCCTGCCCTGAGCCCAGTGACACAGAGAGTGCAGTGCAACTGCAACTGCATGTGTGCCAGGTACATTACTTTAATCCTGTTCTGGTTGCTCAGTGGGCAACATCTAGGCATTTCTAAATACTGCAATTTTTTTGGTGCTTAAAAGTACATTTGCGTACTGCATTTCTTGCAGTCCAATAAAACCCTTAAATACTACTGTTACATTGTTGGTTTAAAAAAAATCATACCTTTTGGTGCTAAATAGTACATTTGCGGCCTGTGGTGCACTTCATATCTGAGAGTCAAATAGAATCGTCAAATACTGTGGTTACAGCACAGTTTTAAACATTCACATTTTTTAGGTTCTAAATAGGACATTTGGGGTGTGCACTTCATGTCTGAGAGTCAAATAGAACCGTAAAATACTGCTGTGACATAGTAGTTTTAAAAATTCTAATTTTTGGGGTTCTAAATAGTACATTTGCGGCCTGCACTTCATATCTGACAGTCAAATAGAGCCATTAAATACTGTGGTTACATCGCACTTTGAAAAATTCACATTTCTTTGGTGCTAAAAAGTTAATTTAGCGCATCAACTTCATATCTGAGAGTCAAATAGAACCGTTAAATACTGCTGTGACATTGCAGTTTGACTAATTCACATTTTTTGGTTGCTAAAAAGTACATTTGTGGCATGCACTTCATATCTGAGAGTCAAATAGAACCGTAAAATACTGTGGATACAGCACAGTTTTAAAAATTTCATTTTATTAGGTGCTAAATAGTACATTTGCGTACTGCATTTCTTGCAGTCAAATAAAACCCTTAAATACTACTGTTACATTGTTGGTTTAGAAAAAAATCACACTTTTTTTGTGCTAAATAGAACATTTGCGGCCTGTGGTGCATTTCTTGCAGTCCAATAAAACCGTTAAATACTACTGTTACATTGTTGGTAAAAAAATCAAACTTTGTGGTGCTAAATAGTACATTTGCAGCCTGCGGTGCCCTTCATATCTGAGAGTCAAATAGAACCATCAAATACTGTGGTTACAGCGCAGTTTTAAAAATTCAATTTTTTTGGGTGCTAAATAGTACATTTGGGGCCTGCACTTCATATCTGAGAGTCAAATAGAACCGTAAAATACTGCTGTGACATAGCAGTTTTGAACATTCTAATTTTTTTGGTTCTAAATAGTACATTTGCAGCCTGCACTTCATATCTCAGAGTCAAATAGAACCTTCAAATACTGTGGTTACATCGCACTTTGAAAAATTCACATTTCTTTGGTGAGAAAAAGTTAATTTAGGGCGTGCACTTCATATCTGAGAGTCAAATAGAACCGTTAAATACTGCTGTGACATTGCAGTTTGACTAATTCACATTTTTTTTGGGTGCTAAAAAGTACATTTGTGGCGGGCACTTCATATCTGAGAGTCAAATAGAACCGTCAAATACTGTGGTTACATCGCAGTTTTAAACATTCAAATTTTTTTACATGCTAAATAGTACATTTGGGTCCTGCACTTCATATCTGAGAGTCAAATAGAACCGTCAAATACTGTGGTTATAGCGTAGTTTTAAAAATGAAAAATTTTTAAGTGCTAAATAGTACATTTGCATACTGCATTTCTTGAAGTCCAATTAAAACCCTTAAATACTACTGTTACATTGTTGGTTTAAAAAAATCACACTTTTTTGTGCTAAATAGAACATTTGCAGCCTGCCGTGCATTTCTTGCAGTCTAATAAAACCCTTAAATACTACTGTTACATTCTTGATTTAAAAAAATCAAACTTTTTGGTGCTAAATAGTACATTTGCGGCCTGCAGCGCACTTCATATCTGAGAGTCAAATAGAACCATCAAATACTGTGGTTACAGCGCAGTTTTAAACATTGAAATTTTGTAGGTCCTAAATAGTACATTTGGGGTGTGCACTTCATGTCAGAGAGTCATATAGAACAGTCAAATACTGCTGTGACAAAGCAGTTTTAAAAATTCTAATTTTTTGGGTGCTAAATACAACATTTGCGGCCTGCACTTCATATCTGAGCGTCAAATAGAACCATCAAATACTGTGGTTACATCGCACTTTGAAAAATTCACATTTCTTTGGTGAGAAAAAGTTAATTTAGGGCGTGCACTTCATATCTGAGAGTCAAATAGAACCGTTAAATACTGCTGTGACATTGCAGTTTGACTAATTCACATTTTTTTGGGTGCTAAAAAGTACATTTGTGGCGGGCACTTCATATCTGAGAGTCAAATAGAACCGTCAAATACTGTGGTTACATCGCAGTTTTAAACATTCAAATTTTTTTACATGCTAAATAGTACATTTGGGTCCTGCACTTCATATCTGAGAGTCAAATAGAACCGTCAAATACTGTGGTTACAGCGTAGTTTTAAAAATGAAAATGTTTTAAGTGCTAAATAGTACATTTGCGTACTGCATTTCTTGAAGTCCAATTAAAACCCTTAAATACTACTGTTACATTGTTGGTTTAAAAAAATCACACTTTTTTGTGCTAAATAGAACATTTGCAGCCTGCCGTGCATTTCTTGCAGTCTAATAAAACCCTTAAATACTACTGTTACATTCTTGATTTAAAAAAATCAAACTTTTTGGTGCTAAATAGTACATTTGCGGCCTGCGGTGCACTTCATATCTGAGAGTCAAATAGAACCATGAAATACTGTGGTTACAGCGCAGTTTTAAACATTGAAATTTTGTAGGTCCTAAATAGTACATTTGGGGTGTGCACTTCATGTCAGAGAGTCAAATAGAACAGCCAAATACTGTGGTTACATCGCACTTTGAAAAATTCACATTTCTTTGGTGCTAAAAAGTAAATTTGGGGCGTGCACTTCATACCTGAGAGTCAAATAGAACCATCAAATACTGCTGTGACATTGCAGTTTGAGTAATTCACATTTTTGTGGTGCTAAAAAGTACATTTGTGGCGTGCACTTCATATCTGAGAGTTAAATAGAACTGTCAAATACCATGGTTACATCGCAGTTTTAAACATTCAAATTTTTTAGGTACTAAATAGTACATTTGGGGTGTGCACTTCATGTCTGAGAGTCAAATAGAACCGTCAAATACTGCTGTGACATAGCAGTTTTTAAAAATTCTAAATTTTTGGGTTTCTAAATAGTACATTTCGGGCCTGCACTTCATATCTGAGAGTCAAAAAGAACCGTTAGATACTGCTGTGACATTGCAGTTTGACTAATTCACAATTTTTTGGTGCTAAAAAGTACATTTGTGGCGTGCATTTCATATCTGAGAGTCAAATAGAACCGTCAAATACTGTGTTTACATCGCACTTTCAAAAATTCTAATTTTTTTTGTGCTAAATAGTACATTTGCGGCCTGCGGTGTATTTCTTGCAGTCCAATAAACTAATAAATAAATAAATAAATACAAATAAAAATTGTTGGTTACATTGTCGCCTGACATAAACCATCTGTTAGTTTGGTGGGTGAATGGAAAGAATGAGGGGAGTGTCAAATAAGGGATGTGGCCCTGGTCAAGGTGCTGCTGGTGTTGCTGGAGCTCCTGTTGCAAGGAGAGGATGTGGTCGATCTGTGCCAGCTACACACACAAGTGAAACACCTTCCTCAGGTGCGAGTACGCAACAGAACCTTCAGCGTTATTTGGTAGGCCCGAATGCCGCTCTACGAATGGTGAGGCCAGAACAAGTACAGGAGATAGCAGATTGGATAGCTGACAGTGCCTCCAGTTCCTTCACATTGTCTCCCACCCAGTCCCCTGCTGAAAGCTCATAGTTGGCACTTGCAGCCCATGGCCATCTGTCTTTCACCTCACCCCCAACAGTCTGAGCCACAAGTCATGCATCAGTCTCTTATGCTCTTTGATGACTCTGCTGGATGGGGTTTCAATGGGCCATCCACCTATGATGGCGGTGGCTGTCCCACAGTACGTGGTTCCCAGCTGCTACTACTTTTCCAGGGAGCCTTCCCTTCCTTGCACAACCAATTTGCAGACAAAATCAGGTGTGCACTGCGCCATCTGTGGCACGGTCCACATAACCACAGATACGTGGACCAGTAAGCATGGGCAGGGACGCTATATCTCCCTAACTGCACACTGGGATAGCAGTTTGGTGCATGTCCTTCCGCCACCGAGGATTGCAGGACATTTCTCTTTGCCTCCTGTTGCCTCCTCCTCCTACTCCGCTTCCTCCTCCTCTACCACCTTCTCATCCTGTCAGCGTAACACCTTCACCACCAACTTCAGCACAGCCAGGGGGAAATGACAGCAGGCTGTTTTAAAACTCATATGTTTGGGGCGAAAACCCCACACCACGCAGGAGCTGTGGACGAGCATTGAACAACAGACCGATGAGTGGTTGTTGCCACTGAGCCTCAAGCCCGGCCTGGTGGTGTGTGATAATGGGTGAAATCTCGCAGCAGCTCTGGGCCTAGCAGGTTTGATGCACATCCCTTGCCTGGCGCATGTGCTGAACTTGGTGGTGCAGAAATTCCTGAAAAACTACCCAGATATATCAGAGCTGCTGCAGAAAGTGCGGGCCGTCTGTGCGCGCTTTCGGCTTTCTCACCATGCTGCTGCTCGCCTGTCTGCGCTGCAGCGTAACTTCGGCCTTCCCGCTCACCGCCTCATATGCGATGTGCCCACAAGGTGGAACTCCACTTTGCACATGCTGGAGAGACTGTGCGAGCAGCAGCAGGCGATAGTGAAGTTTCAGATGCAGCACACAGGGGTCAATCGCTCTGCGGAACAGCACCATTTCCCCACCAATGGGTGGGCCTCCAGGCGAGACTTGTGTGCCATTTTGCACTGTTTTGAGTACTCCACCAACATGGCCAGTGCCGATGACACCGTTCTCAGCCTTACTATCCCTCTTCTATGTCTCCTTGAAAAAATGCTTTGGGTGATGATGGAAGAGGATGTGGCACAGGAGGAAGAGGAGGAGGAAGAGGGGTAATTTCCACAGTTATCAGGCCAATCATTCACAAGTGGCTTGGAGGGTGGGTTCCTGCACCAGCATAGGCCAGGTACACAATTGTCCAGCCAGGGCACAGTTCTGTAGGATGAGGAGGAGGAGGATGAGGATGAGGATGAGGAGGAGGAGGAGGAACCGTGTTCACAGCAGGGTGGCACCCAACGTAGCTCGTGGGCATCACTGGAGCGTGGCTGGGGGGATACGGAGGACACAGACGATACACCTCCCACAGAGGACAGCTTGTCCTTGCCTCTGGGCAGCCTGGCACACATGAGCGACTACATGCTGCAGTGCCTACGCAATGACTGCCGAGTTGCCCACATTCTAACTTGTGCTGATTAGTGAGTGGCCACCCTGCTGAATCCCCGTTACAAGGATCAACATGCCGTCCTTAATTCCCTCACTGGAGCGTGATCGGAAGATGGGTGACTACAAGCACACGGTGGTAGACGCACTGCTGAGGGCATTCCCAACTGACACCGGGGGGCTCATTGGAAGCACAAGGCGAAGGCAGAGGAGGAGGAGGAGGAAGCGGTCGCCAATGCAGCTGGGGCACCGCCAGCACCTCAGAAGGCAGGGTTAGCATGGTTGAAATGTTGAAAAGCTTTGTCAGCACGCCACAACAACCAGCACCAACATCTGATATGGAACGTCTTAGCAGGAGGCAGCATTTCAGCAACATGGTGGAACAGCACGTGTGCACAAGCCTACATGTACTGACTGATGGGTCTGCCCCATTCAACTACTGGGTTTCCAAATTGGGCACATGGCCTGAGCTTGCCCTTTATGCCTTGGAGGTGCAGGCCTGCCCTGCAGCCAGTGTATTGTCTGAACGTGTGTTTAGCACGGCATGGGGCGTTATCACAGACAAGCGCGTGGACAAGCTCACGTTTATTAAAATGAACCAGGCATGGATCCTACCAGACTTGTCTGTACCTTGTGCAGAATAGACATTTATACCGGCCTCACCCAGCCATTGTTATACTCAAGTGCACTTATTCTTTGTTTTCTTTTTTTTAAATGTCCCAATATTTTGTGGGCTATCCCAATTAAAAAAATTAAAAATAAATACACAAATAAATAAAAAACTGTGTTGGCTACCTCCTCCTCCTCCACTTCCACCTACACCACCATGGTCACCACCTCCTCAACCTCCTAATCCACATCCACCTCCTCCTCCTAGTTCAAGATTATTATTTTTAACTTTTATGTATTTTATGTTATTTTAAGTTATTTCCCTATCCACATGCCCAAAAGTTCGGGTGACTTCAATGGGGTTCGGGTTCGGGGTCAAGTTTGGGTCAAGTTCGAGCCCGAACTCGAACTTTTTGATGAAGTTTGCCCGAACCTGAACATCCAGGAGTCCGCTCAACTCTAGTTATATCATATATGTTAGAAAGTTAGCAAGAATGTTATAGCATAGCTCGTAGAAGCAAAAGGCATCAACCCTTTTTTTCAGCCAGCAATAGCTAAAATGTATCTAGGAAGATTACGCCTAAAATTCAATTTCTCTATGGCTCCTCATAGCACCTGCTTCCCAGCAAATATCAGGAAAGTTTCAAAATTAATCGGTAAGTACCTTATGACCCCCATCAGATGTGCCTCAAACAGTTCTCAAGGTTGACCAGTATTATATGATTTTGTGATTGTCCTCTTCTATTCCAATGAGTAGACTGCAAAACAAGCCTGCATAGAAGACTGGATAGAATATCCAAGTATGAAGATATTCAGCTTTAAACTCATGTTTTGCGTCAATTTTTAGATCAGCATTATGTTATTTTCAGAAATCCAGCTTTAAACTGAATTTGTTCATGGTGGAAAAATGTGGTTCCATCAAATCACTTTATCTGGAAAAAAAAAAAAAAACCAAGGGAAAGTTTTTTGTTTTGTTTTTTAAAAATATAAATTTGTATGAACATTAATTTTGACTGTAAAAGTTTTAGCTTTAGAGTTGTTTTTTTGTTTGTTTGTTTCTTCTGTGCAATTTGTATCCATATGTTTCTAAGCACTGAGCTCATATGAACAACCACCTTGCCTCAATATAGACCATAAGGCACCCTTACGATGGAGTAGCTCAAGGTTAGGCTCTAGCACAGGTCTTTTTCTGTAAAACATTACCTTCCAGATCATTGTAAAGAAGTTGGCAGAGAGCTCTTGGAATGCAAAATGACTCATCCATTTGATGCCATACACTGAATGTAATACACTATAAAACTTTAACCTCCACAAGCAATCTGGTGTCTCTCCACATTTTGCTTATTTAACCTCTCACCGCAGTTAGGAACTTTCCAGGCCGTCTTCCACAGAATGGACTTTAACGACGTTAGGATGGAATGGAACATCCTGTAGTTTTGGTGTGAGCAGAGTTAAATCGGTTAGTTTGTTATTCGTTTACGTTTCAGCCCAGAGTTTGGGGATTTTACCTGATCGTTACTCTAACCTCAACGCTAGTCCTAATGCTCACCATAACTCTGAGGGATTTACCATACCCTGGAGGTCTTCTCTTGGGGGCAGGGAGGCTAAGACTTTCCTAACTGAATGTGATTACTAAGTCTATGTGATTTATATAGATTTAAGGACAGTAATGGATTTAAAGGACCACTCTAGGCACCCAGACCACTTCAGCTTAATGAAGTGGTCTGGGTGCCAGATCCCTCTAGGATTAACCCTTTTTTTTATAAACATAGCAGTTTCAGAGAAACTACTATGTTTATAAATAGGTTAATCCAGCCCTCAAATCCTCTAGTGGCTGTCTCACTGACAGCCGCTAGAGGCGCTTGCGTGATTCTCACTGTGAAAATCACAGTGAGAACACGCAAGCGTCCATAGGAAAGCATTGTAAATGCTTTCCTATGAGACCGGCTGAATGCGCACGCAGCTCTTGCCGCGCGTGCGCATTCTGCCGTAAGGGAGGAGAGGAGGAGGATCAGAGGTGGAGAGCTCCCCGCCCGGCGCTGGAAAAAAGGTAAGTTTTAACCATTTCCTCTCCCCAGAGCCGGGCGGGAGGGGGACCCTGAGGGTGGGGGCACCCTCAGGGCACTATAGTGCCAGGAAAACGAGTATGTTTTCCTGGCACTATAGTGGTCCTTTAAGAGTAAATATGTTCCCAGCTGACAGATGGGAGCCCAAAAATCAAACGATTGTCTCTACATACACATATTTCACTTATTCATAGAAATAACCCCATCCCAGATCTTGTCTGTTGTACTCTGCTAATTCAGTGAATAAACCCACAGTTAACATGTGTTGTGATGGAGTGATGCGCTTGTTGGAAAAGAGAGCGATTTGGCAGAGCTGGTTTATTCTTATTATTAGCCAAACACAAACAGGGTTATTCACTAAAGTGAGAATTGTTAGGAATATCAAGTGACTTCAAAGTGAATTCCAAATGTAAGTCCAAAGTAGATAAACATAGATAAACAAGCATAGATAATGTGGAGAATTGTTCCAGCTCGGCTTACACTTAAAATGTAAATTAAATTCACAACAATTCTCACTGTAGTGAATATCCCTAAAAGAGTTCATTGTATTAGAAATAAAGATTTATTTTTTCCAGTCCTGATTTCCAGTTTTAACAGAAAATGTAAAGCGTGCCCAAAATGCCCTGACCATCATTCTAGTGCCACGTAGAACTTTTTTTAAATAATATGTCATTTCAGAAATACAGCTAAGATTTCTTGTAAATGGACTTTCCAACTACACTGGAATGAAATATGCAATAATTAAACTATATGGTTGTAAATAGAAAAAAAAGATGTAAAAATAGCCAACATGCCAACAAGATCAAGGAAAAACGTAAAATTAATGAAGACATTGCATTGGATGTCCAGCTGAGAAGAGAAATGAAACAAATTGGCTAACATGACTATTTTACTGATAAAACTGCTCTATAATTGCACTTTTGTAAATCAGGTCCAGTTAGCCCATAATTTAGCTGAAGATATGTCCTGGAAATTGCCTTTGTATACACCTCATTATAACATTTGCTATTTTGTGCTTCTATTTTTGAATGTATTATTTTTAAGTAAAATTAGTTGTCAATTTATTTGATGAATAAATATAAATGCCCATTGTGAATAAATAATGAATGAATGTTCGCCATTCGTATTTACTAAGAGCTGTTATTAAAGTCTTGTTGATCAAAGGTGGTTTGTTAAAATATAAAGAGCTGGATGGTTACAAGCTGCCAAAAATATATATACATTGTAATAATGCTGCTGTGATAAATAGATACAACATACGAAATAGACACACACATTTGTGTTATGAAATAACAATTAGATAATGTATAGGATACATTGACAATTGTCCATTGAAAGCACATAGTTATCAATATCGCTTGAACGCAAACACGTATAATTACAATCACTTAAGAAATAGAACAATGGGGAATCCTAGGAGAAGCATACTTAAAATTTAGCAGATTGTCGAGTGCTTTTTATTGTGCTGTTAGCTTTTTGTCAGTTTAATGTATAATGTGTTTTTTCTTTTGGTACAGCCCTGCAAATCCTAAAGTTGTAATATTGATGCATCCTTACCATGTTTGCCAGAACCCCACCACCTTTATTTTCTGTACCTGCACCTCCATTTTATTCTGTTAAAATACAATAACATTTGTACTCAAAATATGGTAGA